ATTTACTAAAAGTCAAGAACTGCCATCTCAAGATATACTCTCCAACGCCAATTGTTCTGAAGAGAAAGAGTGTAGCAATATATTAGAGAGAAACTGCTCTGCTATCTTTGTCTAACTAAAGCCTGAACCCCCAATGAAATAAATAATTACATCTGGCCCCTCCACTTAGTTTCCATTATCTTGGGTAAAGACTGAAGACTCCTAACACACCTGGACAGGCATTCCTTGTAGGTCATTGACGTTGAGGACACCACTCACTATTCCAATGAGGGCCACTTGCCATCTATTGTCTATATTTCCTGCTCAAGGAACTCCATCATGTGCTGCCATCTCTCTCCAAGCCCAGTAAATTCCCCTACAAAGCACCTACATTTCCTTATAGTTGTTCATATTCTCTATGAAACGGTATATAGGCCCTAAATTATGTTGGGCTAGCGGGGAATTGTGCTTCGTGATTTGCTTCTATGGACATATAAGTTTCAGTGTCGTCTCAACTGTAGGATGCTATTATTGGTGCACTCCAGTGAACCCTCCTTTCAGCGCTACAGAGTCTTAATAGTTCTTTCTCCTGTGACTTTGTATATGCTAGGAAATTCTGTTTTTCTTTTCTTTCATCTCCTCTACATTTAGTGAATCTATATCCATCTAGACCCTGGCTTTCAATATAGTTTTGGAATGTGGAATATGTTGCCATTTCACCCAATTGATTTGGCCCCAAATAAAAAAAAAATTACTATAGAACTAGGTTTCTTCAAGCATAGTACCCAAAAGCTTAGGATATGAGAGCAGAGTATCTGGGTAATTCTGCCTAGGATCTCTCCTGGGGTTATAGTCAAGGTATTGCCTGGCACTGGTGATCCTTATTTTATAAAGACTTCCCAAACACAGATGTTTCAGGCAGAATGGTCTCTGTTTGTGCCTGTTACCCCATCAAGACTTGTGGTATAGTTATGTATTAAAATATTTACATTAGATTTATACTGACATTTATACATTTCTATTTATTTTATTACTTTATGTGTATTGTGTATTATACTTGTGCCCACAGAGGCCAAAAGAGGGCATCAGATCCCCTAGAAATGGAATCCCAGATGGCTGTAAGCCTCTAGTGGTCTTTACTAGTTTTGCACTTTGGCTATTGTATCTACAGAATCAACTTCCCCAAAACCAGACTTTACAAATATTAAGCAGTTTTAACTCCAGTAGTTTTATTTTATGGCAATTATTTCTATCTGAAGTTTTCTCCATGATGGAGTTGATAGACCATTTGGGGTCTGATTCCTTATCTAAGATGAGAGGCAGGATGCTTTCAAATGGTTGAGATTGCTGGTATGCATGCAAGCCAACTACAGACCTCACCCTCTTTGTTATTTTTCATCTTTCTGCGCACTGTGTTTCAGCTGCCCACACTATCACTAAAGGGTTGAATAAGCAAGGTCCCTGATAGAAAAACATCAAGGGTTGGTGTTCACCTGTGGTTAAAGTGAACTCTCATTAGCTCACCTCTCGTCTTCCTTAATATGACTCCACCCACTGTTCACCCAATGCTGACCAACTGGAATACAGAATTTTGACACTTATAAAGCTTTGAGAAAATTAGGAGTAATATTAGATTAAAGAAAAATGGGGTTCTTAAGAGAAAAAAAAAACCAACAAATTTTTTTCCTTCCCTTCAAGTTTTTGGGCCTGGATCCTGGATCCAAGTAGTTGTCTTCTTACTATGTTCATTGAAACATAATGTTAAAAGCAAGTTTCCTATATTGAGATTTGTAATATCCCTCCAAAGCCCACATGGTAAAAGTATGGTCCCAGCCCATTGTACTACTGAGAGACAGTGGAACCTTTATTAGTTGAGGGCTAATGAGAAGTTGTCAGATATTGGGGAATGGACCCTTGAAGGAGATTCTAGATCCCTAGCCCTTTCTTCTTCAATTAATTTTCCTTACATCTTAGGCACAAGATGAACAGGCTTTGTGCCATTATACACCATGCCATGATGTAGTACTGTCTTACCATGGGTTCAGAAGCAATGGGTGTGCCTGACCATGGACTGATATCTCAAACAATATGAATCCAAATGTATTAGTTAGGTTTCTCTAGAGGAAAAGAACGCATGGAATGAATCTCTATGTAAATAGAAAGAAGGGGTCTTATTGGAATGGTCCAGTTAATCCAACAATGGCTGCCTACAAACAGGAGGTCCAAGAATCCAATAGTTGAGGCTGATGGCTCAGCTTGTCTTTAGTATATGTTGGAATTCCCAAGAAGTAGGCTCTAATGCCAGCAAAGCAATGGTCTTGCCAGCAAGAATGATAACAATCAGGCAAAGAGAGCAAGCTTCCTTCCCCTAGGTCTTTTATACAGGCTGCCAGCAGAAGGCATGGCCCAGATTAAAGGTGGCTTTTCCCACCTCAAAGATCTGGATCACAAGTGGATCTCCTCACTTCAAATAATTTAATTAAGAAAAAAAATCCCTTGCAGATGTGCCCAGCCATTTGGTTTTTAGTTAATTTAAGCTGTAGTCAAGTTAACAACTAAGAATAACCACTACACCAAATAAACATTTCCTTGTTTTTGAAGTCGTTATACCAACAGTTAGAATATCAGGAAGCTAAATACAGACTTTAATTCCTGAGCTCCATATGGGGCATTAGTAGGATACACTTCTTGAGACCTTGAGGATTTTTTTAAATTTTGAAAATTATGTTCTAGTTGTTGTTGCTGAGAGTCTTTGTACATAAAGTCATATCACTTCAACTTTATGAAGCTCCAGGTTACTGGTAATCCCACAAATGTGAGGAGAAAGAGTACTGACCCAAATCATCATGGTCAAACTAATTAAAGCATGGCTTAAAAAAAAATTGTGAATATGGGCTGTCTCTCCCTAAAGATGGGGTTCAAGAGATCAGCATTGAACATGAATAAGTTAAGGTCTTTTGTAATTCAGGAATAAGGGGTCTCCAAATGGGGGGGTTTGGCAAGCAAATAAAGTTACGACAGAAGCAGAACATAAACATAACAACCTCCTAAAACAGACATGGTTGCAAGTGGTCATGACAAGGTGGTCATAATAACCATTTGAAATAAAGGTGTGGTTGCTGTTTCCTGGAACAGGTGGTACAGAACCATTTGTAGTTAAGGTTATAGAAAGGGAATAGCGAGACACAGAGATGTAATCATAAACAGGAAGGGCCTTGTTTATCTTTACTATAAAATGGCTTTCAAGCTCAAAATGGAGGCAGGCTGGTTCATCAGTTACACCAATCAGTTTTAGGATATTTCTCTCAATAATAAGTGAAAAGTTGCAGAAATATATGAATGAAATATTGCAGAAATGACAATTCCCTGTGATTTGGTGAATCCACTTATCTGACAATCTGTGAATTTCCAATACTATTTTGATCTGTTTTAGAGAATTTGCTTCAACTGGATGTCCATTGGAAGGCCTTTATAGGTTTAAATAAGCCTTCCAGATTCTCCATCTTGAAGAGTTAAGAACCTCAAACTGGGCTGTACAATCCTAGCGCTGAAGTCTTTCTAACTACGTTATAGCATGTCTTGATCTATATTTTGAGGGAGATGAAATGGATGTCTGGGCAGAAAGAGAGGTATGAGTATTGTTTGTAGTAATTGTGGTAATTACATTAACCAGAGAGATCGAGAGAGAGAGAGAGAGAGAGAGAGAGAGAGAGAGAGAGAGAGAGAGAGAGAGAGTTCCTGTTGTGGAAATAAACTGAGAAGTAATTTAGTAAGCAGGCACCATTAGACACAGGAGCCTAGTCTGAGTGACTGTAAGGACACTGCTGCCTATACACAGAACCCTAGAAAGGTTTCTCTAAAGGTCAAGATGTTCAGTGTGAAACTAAAAGCAGAGACACTTCCCTTAGTGACTTCCATTTACATGGGGGGGGGGCTAGGAAAGCTGCAGACGGTGAAGACTTTTTAAAACTAGTAATTTCGTTCCCCATGGTTAAAAAAAGAAAAAGATAGTTGTTTTTAAAATACAAACTTGGCTGATCTGGCTGTCTCCTGTGACCAGATCAGTACCTGGCCCAATTGTCATTAGAGAGGTATCATTCAGCAACTGATGGAGGCAGATGCAGAGACCCACAGCCAATCATTAGGCGGAGTGCAGGAATCCTGAGGAGGAAGAGGACAAGGGAGTGTAGGAGCCAGAGGGGTCCAGGGCACCACAGGAAAGCTCACACAATCACTTATCTGGGCTCATAGAGGTCAACAGAGAATGACCCGACAACCAGGGAGCCTGCTGGAGACTGACCTAGGCACTCTGCATGTGTGACAGTTTTGTAGCTTGGTCCTCTTATGTGTGGGGAATTGGGCTTTTACTGGCTTTTGGGACCCCACTCATACTCGGTCGCCTTGCCCAGCCTTAATACATGTAGAGGTGCTCAGTCTTATGGCAACTTGATAATGCCATGTTTTATTGATACTCATAGGAGTCTTGCCTTTTCCCGAGTGAAGGCAGAAGAAGAAGGAATTGGGGGATTGGGGTAAGAGGAGCTGGGAGGGAGAATGGGGGCGGGAGGGTGCGGCAGGATGTAAAATGGATAAAAAAAATTAAATACAAACTTTATAATTTTGGTTAAGTTAACCACATTTCTGAACGTAAGGCCTTTGAGAGTGAGACTTTTTGGAGAAGGGTCAGGTGAAACCTCGAACTTCGGAAAACATTTGCTCAGTAGTAGCAGGATTGATGTTCTACAACCTAAGGCTGATTGAAAGTGAAACAAGTGTTTTGCTTCACTGAGAAACAAACACAAGAGAGACTGACAGGGTCAAGCAACTTTTCTCTGCACCAACACTCACATCGGGCAGGAAGGAGTACTTGCGCACGCGCAGAATACGCAACCCGCCGCCGACCCGCCCTTGTGGGTGGCCCCTAATTCTGAGTCCTCCCTTTGTCGCTCCGTTCCCGGGGAACTGTGTTCCGGCTACACTGGTCCGGCTGCCCTCCTTCCGCCCTTCATTGCCGTGATCCTGCCATGGCTGCTTCTGTGGTGCGGCTGCTGCAGCGGGGCCCTCGCTGCTTCTTGGCTCCAGCCGCCCCGACGCTGGTTCCCCCGGTCCGGGGAGTGAAGAAGGGGTTCCGTGCAGCCTTCCGCTTCCAGAAGGAGCTGGAGCGATGGCGGCTGCTGCGCTCCCCGCCGCCGCCCGTGCGACGGTAGGTAGACCCAAGGACACCGGGCTGCAGCTGCAGGCAGGTGGGGGGTGGCAGGGAGACACGGCCGCACGCGACCAGAGGAAAAGGGCGACACTGTCCGGGCTGTCCCCTGCAGAATCTCAGTAACCCCAAATAGAGAAATGCGTCCTGCTAGAGAGTAACCGCTTGCGCCTGGCCAGTGTTGTGATTGCTCAGTCTGAGATTCTTGACACCTTTAAGGGTGATAGCATCATTCTACACACAGCACTGCAAACCAGGGCAGAAAAACTTCACTTCTGTTGTAGGACTGAATACGTGTCCACTGTCCGGAGTGAGAGGGGAAACGTTTATGCTTTGGATCTAGTTAATCTCGCTGTGTGGCAAAAAAAAAAAAAAAAAAAAAAAAAAAAAAAAACACACACAGAAACAATCATACGTTCTTATGAAGTGCATCATGCTTGTATATGATCCTGCGTCTTGTGTCTTCTGTTTACCGTGTCTTCGTGGACAAAAATACACGTAGATCTACTTCGTTCTCAGAGCATCACTGGCATCTGACCTCTGTTAGAGTGTTAGTACACCCAAAGAAGCGGGGACTGCTCTAGTGTTTGGGGAACTTATTCCTGGTGTGAAATTTTCATTACCACTTTAATCTTGCTCTCCAGGAGAATATTAATCATGTTTACACTAATTCTAATTCTTGGAATTGTGTATGTATTTAAGGTGTACACGCACACACACTCCCATGTGTCTGCTAGGCAAGCACTCTACCACTAAACTACAACAACCTCAAGCCTCATGCATGGTTATGAAATTTTAACAAGCTTGTAATACTGATACTAGCTTAAGTGGTCATTTCTGAAATTTAAGTAGATAGGATATAAACTAAATATAAATCTACTTTTAGTTTCTGGCCTGAATCTATATAGTTATAATTTGTTTATACTTAGGTGTAAAGCATAATTTCACTGCTAGAGCAGAAAGAAGAAATTGAAAAGCTAGAACAATAGTCTAATCTAACGTGAACAATCCCTTTAATGTGGCAGTTAAGCCAAAGGGAAAAATTAGTCCTAACCATATGTGTAGAATGTTACAAAGAACTGCCAGCGTACATCTGCATTGCTTAGTTTGTATTTAAACTGTTAGAGCTTGACATTAAGAGAAGCAAACTTCGTTTTGTCCCTTCTTTATATAATAGAGCTAGAGCATAATTGTACAAGGTGTCATGGTACCCTTACCATCTCTTGCTGTGTCTACATCCTTAGTTCAGAGAAGCCAAACTGGGATTACCACGCGGAAATACAAGCCTTTGGGGCCCGGTTGCAAGAAACCTTTTCCTTGGACCTCCTCAAAACTGCGTTCATCAATAGCTGCTACATTAAAAGCGAAGAGGCGAAACGTCAGAAACTTGGGATCGAGAAAGAAGCTGTTCTTCTGAATCTTAAGGACAATCAAGAACTATCCGAACAAGGGCTGTCCTTTTCCCATAAGTGCCTCACACAATTTCTTGAAGATGAGTTCCCAGACTTGCCCACTGAAGGCATTGAAAGTCTGGTTAGCTTTCTTACTGGTGAGGCAGTTGTCTGTCATGTGGCTAGTAACTTGGCTGTGGAGCAGTTGACCCTGAGTGCGGAGTTCCCTGTCCCCCTGCCTGTACTGCGTCGGACTTTCTTTGCAGTGATTGGAGCCCTGCTACAGAGCAGTGGACCCGAAAGGGCTGCGCTTTTCATCAGGGTGGGTATGGCTGATTGCCCTTGCTCACGTACACTTGATGAGTTCAGAAGGAAAACTTGCTTTCTCTCATTCCTTTGCTATATCTTTATATAGAGCTGACTGTTTCTCCCCAGAAAACTGACAAAGACCTAAACTGGTTTTTTTTGGTAATTTTGTTGTTATTTTTTTTTTTTCCTTTTGCAGAGAGAGAGTAGAAAGCATATATTAAATGCTGGATTGTAAGTTCTGAAGGGTTTAAGTCACTTTCAGCTTTTAGTTTTGGTTTTTGTTTGTTTTGTTTTAAGGGGAAAGATTTGTTTTAGCTCAGGGTCTAAAAAGGAATGCAGTGGCTGTGGGGGTGTGTTCTTAGGAGATAGGTAGACACAGGCTTGTCTTCTTTGAATTTTGATGTCATATTGCTTGACATAGTTTTCTTAGGATTTGAAATTGAAATCTTTTAAAAATTTAACTGTGATTATTTTAAAATTAAAACTACAAACAAACAACAACCTATGGTATAACTCTTGATGTATGAGTGTTTGCTTGCCTTGTATGTGTATGTGTATGTGTATGTGTATGTATGTGCCCATAGAGGGTAACCCATACTGGAGTTCCAAAGCCTAAATCTGAAAATGTTCTATAATCTCAACTTTTGTAAGCAGCACTGTGATGCAGAAAGTTTCAGATTTTGGAGCATTTCAGATTTTCAGGCTAGATCAGTTTTTATGATAATGGATTTGAATCTTGTAGTATTCTTTGTTCTCGTTTAAAGATATAAATGATCATTTTATGCACAGGACTTTTTAATTACGCAAATGACGGGGAAGGAGCTCTTTGAGATGTGGACTGTCGTAAATCCCATGGGACTACTCATAGAGGAACTGAAGAAGAGGAACATTTCGGCTCCCGAGTCTAGACTCACCAGGCAGTCAGGAAGCACAACTGCTTTGCCGTTGTATTTTGTTGGCTTATACTGGTTAGTAAAAAAAAAAAAAAAAAAAAAATTTCACTTCGTAATTTTGATTTGAAGCCTTAAAGATAGACTGCCAGTTTTTAAATGTTACTTCAAACAGCATTAAAATTGTATCTCTGAGCTGGGCACAGTGGTGTGAGCCTTTAGTCCTAGCCTAGCGTTCAGGAGGAAGAGGCAAGCAAATCTCTGAGTTCAAGGCCACACTGGTCTATATCCAGGACAGCCAGAGCTACACAGTGAGACCCTAGTGGGTTGTGGGTGGGGTTATTTCTGATATTTGGTTTTTTTTTTTTTTCTTTCTCCTATCAGAAGAAGACTGTGTTTTGGTAATAGTAACTTAAAGATTTTGTGTCTGAGTATTGGCCTGTGTGTGTGTCTGTACCACATTCATGTGGAGGCTAGAAGAAGGTTTCAGTCTTGCTGGAGTTACAGATGATTGCTAGCTGCTGTGTTGGTGCTGCGAACTACACCTGGATTCGCTGCGAGAGCAGCCAGAGCTCTGAAACACTGAGCCTTTCCTCCAGCTCCTGCCAAGTCACTTTTGGCCAGCTGTTTGTAGAATTTCATGGTGTATAAGCTAACTTCATATTTTCTATATGAAAAATAAGTTTGATTTCTATCTGTTGGACTTTACCTTAATCTGTTCTTGGCAGCAGCTTCAATTAGCTCAGGTTAGAACAAAGGAGCTTTGCTGTCTATCAAAGTTTCAACCCATTTGGAGCCTTTTAGTTTTGTTAGAAAAAGACCTCTCTGAAATTGATTTCAGATTTTAAGATTAAAGTAGGGTAGATGTGTATAGCTCAGTGGTAGAATGTTTGCCTAGGAGAGAGAGAGACAGAGACAGACAGAGAAAGAGAGCTAGCATGAGAGAGAGTTCAACTAGAGTACTAGATATGAACATTTAGTGTCTAAGATAACCAGATTAAAATTTCTGCAAACATTTCCCCAATATTTGAAGATTATTCTAATCTAAGAAACTTGCCATGTAGACCCCAGCTGGTTCAGACTCAGAGATCTGCCTGTCGTTGCCTCTCAAATGCTGGTACCAAAGGTGTGCACCACCATACCCAGCTCTAACCTTTGAATACCTGATCCTCTTGCTACTTTGTGCTTTGACTTGGGAAATACTGGCCCTCATGGATTATTATATTTATTTACTTTATTATGTATATAGTGTTCTGCCCCAATGTCTTTCTGCAGGCCAGAAAAGGGCACCATATCTCATTACAGATAGTTGTGAACCACCATTTGGTTGCTGGGAATTGAACTCAGGACCTCTAGAAGAGCAGCCAGAGCTCTTAACTGCTGAGCCATCTCTCCAGCCCTTGGTTATTATATTCTCATGGAATGGAATGGAATGCAAGGTGTTAACTCCTTCATGTGCTCTGTCCTCCTTTCGATCAGGATAACTGTCTGTTTTCTTTCTAGTGATAAAAAGCTGGTTGCAGAAGGACCTGGGGAAACGGTACTAGTTGCAGAGGAGGAAGCTGCTCGAGTGGCACTTAGAAAGCTCTACGGATTCACAGAGAACAGACGGCCCTGGAACTACTCCAAGCCCAAAGAGAGCTCAAAAGCAGAGAAAACCAGCATTGCCAGTTAGGCAGCAAGCAGGGTGACACCATCATGTCTAGAGCAAAGCAGTGAGACTGTGCCAGAGGGACAAAATGCAGGGAGGAACCTGTCTCATTATTTTTACTGTACTCCTAAAATTAAACAAGTGTTTATCAGATGACGGGTATTTGTTTCATTTTATGTTTCTCATATATGTTGGTTTATTACTATGTGTATAATTTGTGCAAAGCTCCAGCTTTGAAGTAAAGTCAAATATGTGAAGTTTGTTGTAATATGAATAAAAAGTTATTGTTTTAGATCCATTTCCTTTTTGTATTGATGCAAGAAAGAGGCTGCAGAAGCAGCAGTGGCTATGAATGTCACAAGTTTGAGAACAAAGCTACCGGACAGAGTCCCACTGTAGAGGCAAAAGGACAGGGACAGATCTGACTGAAGGAAGAGGAAGAGTCCATTGTCATAGGTATCGAGCTGAGCTCAAGCCTGGGACTGTTGCGAGTTCTCTGTTGGTCCTTGCTGCCTACACTTGATTGTCACATGCCAGGTCAGTGGGGGCCATTGCAGCACTAAGTGTCCACCTCATCTTAGGGTCCAGGACCCAGGTGAGTCCTTTTGGGCTTGATGTTGATTTTGGCCAGTGAACCCCAGAAGAGATCAGGGTTTTTGTTCACTCAGTGCCCTCCTTGGTTAGGCATCATGGACTGCCTGCCTCTACCACGGCTGTAAATCCTGCTGGTTGGCCTTTTTCCTAGGTCTTCAGGCTGTTGCTGGACTGGTGTCTCCAGGTTCTTGATGCTTTGTTCAATAATGAAGTAAAAGGTCACACTGATGACAGAGTTGCTAGGAAGGTTTATGTAAAGCAATAGAAAAGCTCAGAATGTCATGCAGGGAGCAGCAGGCCACGTGGATGAAGATTCTTAGTAGCCATGATTATTGTTTGGGGCTTTCCCTTATGGGAAAGAGGAGCTGAGTTCCTAAGGCGTGTATTGTATGGATAGGGTTGTGTGTGCATAGTACACGTAGGAAAAGGGGCTAGACTTCCAAGTGCTTTATGAGGAGAGTTAGTTGTTCGTAGCCCTCCCAAGCAGAACCCCAGGTTGGCTTTCTTGTCTCATGTGTTCAGTAAGTTCTTGAGTCTGTTGTCCCTAATACAATTTTAATATGCCAATGTGCCCCTATTGTCTTAATCCATGCCCAATAAATTATATAATTGTGGATTCCCTGTTTGGGGGAATAAGCAATTCGTCATTCTGTGTGCATGGTGGTTCCAGACACATGCTGCCATTCATTTGTTTGCACAGGTGCACAGTCATCCTCTATCCTCAAAACAGTCAAAAGCAGATTGTAGTCTCTCAGGACCTGGAGAGATGGAGCTGCAGTTAAGCACACTTAGTATCCTTCCCAGCACCTATGTGCTGGCTCACAACCTTCAGTAACTTGAATTTCAGGTGTCTGATGCCCTCTGCTGGCCTCCATGAGCACTGCACCTATGTTGTACACATACATGCATGCTTATACACCAAGTCAATCTTTTAAAGTAAGGGTGTCTCTCAGGACCAGGCGCAGTCTTTGAAACATTTACCCAATATGGGGTAATTTACAGCAGAGCACAGCCTGGTCTCGGCAGGACCACTGCCTCATCACCAGCTTCCAGGCCAACCTCTTGTATCTCCAGCAATACAAATTTTATGTGTGAAAAACAGTTAAAGAGAGGGATGATGGGAGATGTGATTCTGTAAATATGTTTCTCATACTGGTTAATGAATAAAGCACTGTTGGCCAATAGGAAAGCTAGATAGGTGGGACTAGGAGATGAGGAGGAAAGAGGAAGTAGTAAGGAGGAGTCACGATGGAGAGTCTGGAGAGAGCAGGACACCAGCCGGCTCTCCGGTAAGATGAGACCATGTGGAAATACATAGATTAATAGAAATGGGTTAATAATTAAGACAGAGCTAGCCGATAAGAAATTAGTACCTGGCCAACAGCATTATATCAAATACAGAGTCTCAGTGTGTCAATTGGGGCTGGCGCGGCGGTGGGACAAGACCAGCGGCAGGCGGAAAAACCAACTCCTTACAGAGAGAAATACTTGTGAGCTTTCCAGTGCCACAGGGTGGAAAGGCAAAGTGGCCAGTGCTTTGCTGGACCCCACTTAGAGAAACCCATTTTCACCTAATGTAGCACAGCTGTTCCAATAGCTCTAACAGGGCTTCTTTCTTTTTAATCTCCCCCATCATTTGACTTTGCTGTTGTTTGGTTGAAAAATAGAATCCGAGACATATCTCTGGCATTGTCTCTGCACAAATCTAAATGGCCTGAGGTTACTATCTAGTAGGAAACTCCAAAAGGACAAAGGTACCATGTCTCCCCTTTAAGAGTTCATTCAAAAGGGTCTACTGATCGTGTGAACTGGAAAACACACTTCACAAAAACCATCCCAGACCCTTGAAAATACAGCACCTGGCAACTTAGGCACGTAGGTCATCATAGTGGTCTTGTTAGCCAATCATCTGAGAGTATTTTCCTCTAAGTAGCCCCTTAGGTCATAGCACATGCTCACCCTCGACAGTGGATCTTGTTATTCTATAATAATCCCTGACTGGCCCACAGACTGGGAAAAGATTTTCACCAATCCTATATCCGACAAAGGGCTGATCTCCAAAATATACAAAGAACTCAAGAAACTAGTCAACAAAACACCAAATAACCCTATTAAAAAATGGGGCACAGAACTGAAGAAAGAATTCTCAATAGAGGAAATCAAAAAGGCTGGAAGACACTTTAAAAAGTGCTCCACATCCTTAGCTATCAGGGAAATGCAAATCAAAACAACTTTGAGATACCATCTTACTCCTGCCAGAATGGCTAAAATTAGAAACACCAATGATGACTCATATTGGAGAGGATGTGGAGAAATGGGAACACTCATCCACTGCTGGTGGGAGTGCAAACTCGTACAGCCATTTTGGAGATCAGTATGGCGGTTCCTCAGGACCCGGCATACCCCCTCTTAGGCATATACCCAAAGGATCCACATCCATGCAACAAAGACATCTGTTCAACTATGTTCATAGCAGCACTATTTGTAGTAGCAAGAACCTGGAAGCAACTTAGATGCCCCTCAATTGAAGAATGGATAATGAAGATGTGGCACGTCTACACAATGGAATACTACTCTGCAGAAAAAAATAATGGTATCTTGAAATTCGCAGGCAAGTGGATGGCACTTGAAGAAACCATCCTGAATGAGGTAACACAGTATGTACTCACTCATATATGGATTTTAGAACTAGATCAAAGGATCACCAGCCTATAATTCACACCACCAGAGGAACTAGGATACAAGGTGTATTCTAAGAGATTCATATAAAGTCCCTCACAGAACTGGGAAGGGACAAGTTCCCCAGAGCATAGGGGAAGTGGGGGGGCAGCGAATGGAGAGAGAAGTAGGAGAAAACGAGGGGGAGGAAAGGAAAACACGTGCGACCAGGAAGATTGAGCCTGGTTAAGAATAGAAGACAGGAGAGAGAGAGAGAGAGAGAGAGAGAGAGAGAGAGAGAGAGAGAGAGAGAGAGAGAGAGAGAGAGAGATTGAGAGAGAGAACACAAAAAAGAGGGAGCCAATATTGGTTTGAAGATAAAATTGAACACAAAGAAAGGTCTAGAGAACTACAAGACTGCTGCCAACTAACAATTTGAGCTTCCGTGGAAAGGCTACTATAAATGCCCTTCCCAGATAGTGAGATCAACAACTAACTTATCCATGGAGCCCTCAACTAATGTCTGTTGGAAACAGGAGCAAATGCCCATACATAAACAGAGTCGAAGTAGAACCCAGATGCAGATGGAGAGGACAAGACCAGGTGGCAGAAACACATAGAGACAGCTTACCTGAACAAGGAGGAGCTAATGGGTCACAAGACTGATAGCTGGGAAGCCAGCATGGGACTGACTCAGGCCCCCCCTGAATATGGGTCTTAGTCAGAAGGACTGAGCAGTCTAAGGGACCTCAGACAGTGGAGCCAGGATGTATCCTGGTGTACAAAAGGACCTTGTGATCACATCCCCCATGGAGGGATAACTGCCTTAATCTAGAGACAGGAGAGAAGCCCTAGTCCCTACTTCACATGACTTGACAGATCTACATGACCCCAACTGGATGGCATTCCCCTACATATGGAATTGGGGTGGGGGGATGGGAGGGGAGGGTGGTTAGAGTGCATGTGAGAGGGCAGAGAGGGTAAAAGGGAGGGAAGGAGGGAAGGAGGGAGAGGGAACTGGGATCGACATGTAAAATAATAAATTAAATAAAAAAATGCTTTGACTCAAAAATTTAAGTTCAAGGACAAGTTACTGGGGAAAAGGATTTCTATTTTTGTTTCCACAGAAAATGAAAAGCTGTGGATTCCTTCCAGACTAATGTGGTTTGATCAAGCCAGACCGCCTGAAACAGAGTACCAGGTGATCCTACATTCAAAACAGCTGGACAAACAGCCTTACAGACTTCTTCTTTGATGCAGCGCCCCTTACCAGCAGGAAGTAGTTTGGCAAGAACGACGCCCAAATTCCCAAATATTGTCTATAAATGTTTGTTTTCATTTAAATGGACTTGGTTATATAAAATAAATAAAAAAATGGAAAAAAAATAATCCCTGCCTGGCTACTATGAGGAGTTCCGTGTTTCTTCCTATTCATTTGAGAGATCACAGGGGTAGGGGATGGCTGCAGGTCAGAGCTGGATCACAGGACTATTTTAACCCTGATTCATGAAGTCTTGAGTGTGTTTGTTTCTGGTCTCTACAGGGCTGCCCCTGGAAAACCAGAGCAAAATTCCTAGGCCTGTGACAAAATAGTCTACACAGTATTCATTCTGAAGCTAGAAAAGCACTGAGATGAGAGACATTGCAAAGCTGTGGCCTGGATAGAGCAAGGGAAGCCCTCTGACACTATGTGGAGAAGGTAGCTCTCTCTACAGTCTCACCCTCTGCCAGTGACTTCCAGCCCACTTGGAAAAAAAGCCTGTTGTTCCCGTTGTTGGGACTGGCCGGAAAGGTGGAACTTGTGTCTTATATAACAGACACAATACCACAGGTAACAGAAATTGTTTCCACAGGGCATCTGAGAGGTTGCTAGTCAAGTAAACTAGTAGTTTTCATAACCA